GGGTTTCCTGTGGGAGCCTGTGTTTTTCCTGAAGGGCAGGTGTTTTACTGACCCCAGACAACGGATTCTCCAGAAACATGGCCGTGAAAGCCCGCATACGTTCGATGCATATTCACATCACACTCAGGACGGAGCCGACACACTACAGCTGTTCTCAGAGGCAAGGCCCGGGCTTGGGCCTCTCGCCAGAACAGCTGCCACCACGTGACAAACGCCCACGCGCGGCGTCTGCTCTGCGGAAGCAGAAGCTATTTTACGTTTGTGCGCTTTCCAGAAAGTGACTTCTTCACCGGCTCAGCAGCACGTGCTCTTAAAAGGCCTTCACGGCCACTTCCCCCTTCCTGCCAGTCTCTGCTGGAGTCCTTCAGAGACGGGTCCGGCCACTCGGCCGAGCTGACCGCGCTGGCGGTTCGTGCTGACCAGCGGCACAGGCTCAGGGCCTCTGCTGAGTTACCTCGTGGTCGGTCAGCAAGTTGTTAAGCAGTTGTCATGCCTTTGTTTCCACTTCAGTGAGGTGCTCGTTCACATAGGAAATTCCTATATTAACAGTCGTTGCTTATTCTTGTGGGTTTATCACTGATGCAGCCATTGGAATTCCTTAAGAATTTTTAAAGTTCCTAAGAAGTTTTCCCCGGCCAGTGTGACTCAGTGGCTGAGCATCGACCCATGCACCAAGAGGTCGCTGGTTCGATTCCCATCAGGGCACGTGCCTGGGTTGTGGGCTCGATCCCCTGTAGGGGGCGTGCAGGAGGCAGCCAATCAATGTTAATGTTTCTGTCTCATCGATGTTTCTCCCTTTCACTTCCTCTCTCTAAAATCAATAACGTATAAAAATAAAGTGAAATTCCTAAAAGCTTTAAGCTATTTGGAACATTTTAACTTTTAATTTAAGTATTTTATTCTCTCCTGCTTTTAGATTGGTCCATTGAGTCAGTCTTTCAACATGTATTGAATGCTCAGTATTTTCCAGTAGTAGCTCTGCCCTAAAGCCAGAGATGATGAATACGCCACCGTCCCTGTCCACAGGGCCGTGGCAGGGTCCTGGGGGGGATGGAGGGAAGGAAGAGATGGCAGCAGAGCCGCACACGGCGTGACGTGCTCGGGGAGCAGGTGTAGTGTGGTGGCTGAGTGTGGGCGACAGTCTCACTGACTCAGCTGGAACGGAGTGTCTCCCTGGGCCTGGGAGCCCTGTCTGGGGCTGCCGGGAACCCACCCTCGGGAGAGGATTGGATGGACGGTGAGACGAGACGTGGGCGAGAGTCCTGCCCGCGTGAGCACTCTGTAAGTGGTGGCTGTGTTATAAAGAAAGGGTCATATGAGCCTTACAGAGTCCATACACTGTCAACAGTTCTGACACGTGCTGGTTTTATGTAAATAGACTAAGCTGGAAATTCTGTGACAAAGGGTGTCATCTGTAATGCTGGTTGTAAAATCATTCATTTCCCTTCCTCTTTTAGGTACCAAAGCAGTCAGACTCACAGCCTCATTCTGAAAACCAGAGCCGCCCGGGGGACTGTGGGAAGAAGCAGGTGTCCTACAGAACTGACATTGTGGGCGGGGTGCCCATCATCACGCCGACGCAGGTAGCCCCGGTGCTCTGCTGTGTGATGGCTCCTTGCGGAGGTGGATGTCAGTGTTGTTAGCAGCACGGCTCCTGAATTAGTCCAGTGGTCCGTGAACACAAAAAGCTTGCGTTTTTGTCTCTAGTTTCAAAAGTCATGATAACGCCGACGAGGATGAGGAGAGATTGTTACTCACATTGCTGGTGGGAATGTGAAGTAGGATGACCACTTTGAAAAAGAGTTTGGCAGATATTCATAAAAATAAACTTGCAGTTAATATATGGCCCAGCATTTACACTGCTAGGCATTTATTCTAGAGAAATGAGACTTATGTTTACACAGAAACCTGTACATGCATGTTCATAACAGCTTTATTCCTAAGAGCCCCAAATTGGACCTAACGCCGATGCTGTTTAGCAGGTGAGTGGTTAATATGCTAATTGGACCAGACGTCCTTTCGTGCACGAAATTTGTGCAAGAGTAGGCCTTCCTGCCACCCGCTGCCGGCACCAGCTTCCCTCTGGCACCTGGGACCCAGGCTTCCCTTGTAGCCCCAGCTTCGTCTGGAAGGTCGTCCGGAAGGACGTCTGGTCCAATTAGCATATTATCCTTTTATTATTATAGATTATTATAGATTGCTTTTAGAAAGGAAGGGAGAGGGAGAGAGAGCTGGAAACATCAATGAGACAGAACATTGATCGGCTGCCTCCTGCACGCCCCCTACTGGGAATCAAGCCTGCAACTGGGCAAGTGCCCTGACCGGGAATCGAACTGGTGACCTCTTGGTGCACGGGTCGATGCTCAGCCACTGAGCCACACCAGTGGGGGCCCTCCTGTACATTTTTAAAGGACCAGATGCACCAGTTAATAATGCGGTTTTGTAATCAAAGAAAACACGATAATTTCAAGAGAAACATCAAAAGTGCTTTGTTCAAAGTAATGTCCATCGCTAGCTACACATTTCCCCATCTTTCAGGTAATTTGTGGATACCGTCCCAATACAACTGTTCTTGTTTTGAGGCAAACCATTCAGAGACCCAATTTTCCACTTCTTATGTTTTGAAGTGCTGCTCAGAAAGTGCGTGTGCCATCGATCGGAACAAGTGGTCATCTGAAGGAGC